CTTTAATAAAATGTTATGTTATTCAGAGCTAGCCTCAGTGTTTTAAGAATCACAGGAGTGTAAAGCTTGATTCATGCTGTTTTGGTAAAAAAAAAAAAAAAGACTGAAAAGTCAGCATCAGATAATGTTAAAACAAGCAGAATACTACTATCACAGTGAAGGTATCAGCAGAGAATCCTGCTCCTCTTATTTAGATTATTATGGTCAAACGAATGCTGGATTTCCTTGGGTTAATATGAAATATCAAATTTACAAATAGGAGATTTGTTGCTAAGATAAAGTTACAATTGCTATGATTATATAAATATGTAGAATGTTGATTTTCACAACATATTCAGTATGATTGAAAATTCTTCAATCTACTAAAACCTTTAAAGCCACCACACAAATAAGCAGTTAAAACACAAATCTTATAGATACTGACATGTGTGAAAGACATGCTTGTTATTTTACTTAGATAACGCAAACACAGTGCCTCAAAAATGTCAACACAAAAGAGGAATGGATTTTACTGGCTTTTTTCTAGATGTGCAGTATTTAGGAAAGGTGTCAAATAAAAGTAAAATTCCAAGTAAATTTGCTTTCTAATTCACTTCATACAATCGTTGTTTTAGGTGCTTTTATAAAAGATGAACTCAGAAATGTATTTATGATTAGCCTAGACTTTTTAGTTGGTTAAAGGCACTTTGTGATGTATGTGTTAAGAAACAGTGATATGAGTGTTTATATCATTCCATACAACAAACAGTTTTTACTAAGATTGGAGCAACAGTCCTGACCTTTTAATAGCTAATCTTCACACAGTCTAAACAGCACTTTTGTTGCATTAGTTATAATCTCAATCAGTAAGAATTAGAAGTTAAACATCTACCATCCCATCAGTCTTTCACTGCATTCTGTAAGATTCCGTACTAAAAAGTACCAATTTTTTAAGTGAAATAAATATGCATAAAAATACTTTTAAAGATGAAAGTAAAAACTTGAACTCAGAAACTCATAATAGGACTTGGTACTTGTTTCAAAAGCCTCTAGAGTGCATAATAGTGTCAAAAGGTTAAATCAGATTGAAAATTTGACTGTCAAATTTGTTAGATAGTTAGTATAGCATAGAATATATATAATGTAGATATAATATAGAAACAAATGCTGCTCATAAACCACAGATTAGGTGTGGCCGTGACTTAGTTCAAACAGCTTGTCTCTGATTCAGAGATGACCTGACTCTGGTGCCAGTAGTGAATACTGGGTCGGTGTCTGAGGATAAAGCATCACAGTCAGAAAACTTACAGAATTGTCCAAAAAAGAAAAGACCTTTAGCTTTCAGAAAACCTTCTCGCTGCTTCGCTTTGCTGTACAAACTAGAGAGAAGAAGGACTTTATTATCTGATACCACTGTAAGAATAGGAAATGTATAAATCACCAACTATTACTCTGCTATTTAGTTGCTGTCTGGTATTAATTGCTGGGATAGCAGCAGCAGCCATCCTTTTTGCTAATATCAGGTGGTCTTAAGGTTGGGATTAATATTAAAGTACAAAACCTTTTCCTACAAAACCTGAAAAATAAGCACCAGATACTGTACTAATGTGTTTTGAGTTTTTGTTTTCTTCTGGCAGCTGTTTTTTTCTGCGGGCTCAAAAAGTTGAATAAAAGAATGAGCACCAGTCCCTTCAGTCAGATGCATTTTGGTGTCATGATCAGTTAGCTGTCCTCTGACAGTTTGGCTTCTCACACGTGTTCAGCAGTGATTATTGTCACTAGTGGTGAAGAAAACATTCAGTTTTGGTGTGCTGAATCCAGTCATTACTGCAATGATGAAGATCACTTTATAGCAGGAAGGCATTCAGTAGCCAGGCCAAACAATTTGATTTATTTTGCTTCACTGCAGCTCTCCTTAGGTATCAGTGTTTATCCAAATTAAGTAACAATTTGGCTTGACGCAGTACCAATACTAAGAATTTTCCATTCCTTTTATGTATGTATGCATATACTTATTTATTTAGTGTTGTTCTTACCACTTTTCCAAGGTGACGAAGAAATCTTCTGATGCTAATTTAATGCCCCCAGCTTTAAATCAAAAGACAGATAAGCGCTCTGACACCTCAGGATGTTAATCAGTCAACAGAAAATACTGGCTAGTGTGCAAAAATACTGAAATCCAGTGAGTGAAAACTCCAAACAACAGCTATAGGAACAATGAAGCTGACTAGGAGGTTGCTGGAGTTGTGCAAGCTATGTATACCCATAGAGCAATTTCAATATTTTCAACAAATCCTCTCTTAGGCATTTGTGGCTAATGCTTTCCTCTTTGAAGATTTCTCATCTTGCATGCAGCTCAGCTATGTGTCAGCTGTGTGTTTATGACTAAAAAAGCCCCGAGGACTGCGCCTCGGCTCTATCACGTGATCGACCCCCACCCCTCTTCTCTCTCTCTCTCTCTCTCTCTCTCTCTCTCTCTCTCTCTTTCCCTCTCGCACCCGCGTGCTTGGAGGGCTGAGAGCCACATAAAACTTGAGACATAAATCAGACTCCCATAAATAATGGCCGCACTTCCCTTTACATCTCCGTTGGACTAACAGACAATAAAAACACCTATAAGCAGAGATTGGATCTAATTTATTGCCTCATAAAAACAGACGGAGAGCTCGGATCCGCTTTAGCAGCGCAGGCACTACTGAAAATCGTCCAGCTATTAGTGTAGCACACTCACAGCTACGTAAACACGCACATTTCTCCACTTAGAATCTTTTGATTTTAATGTGTTTTGTTAGACAGAAGATGTGACAAAGCCGTCATCGTGTTATCATCCAGTATTGAACTATTTGACTACAGAAATGCTATTCTGCACATAGTATTTGTACGGTCATGATTGAATTAGAAGTGTGTTTACTGTAGTATTGGTAGTATTAAAAGAAGGAAAAGTACAACAACCTGGTCATTAGTGAACTATGAAAAATTTGAAGTTACCGAGTCTTTTCCAGAAATTGGGCTTTAGGCCAATCAAAATCTCAAATAATATTAATGAATGAATGTATTTGAGATAAACAAATGAAATGTTAATATTGTCAGTGGATTAACTAAAAATGTATTTTCGTAATAATCAATTGATAATAATAATCAAATAACCGATTGCCAAAAGCGTTATTAAAATAAAATAAAATAAAATAAAATAAAATAAAATAAAATAAAATAAAATAGAAATTACACGTTCCCATCTTCAGTCGACCAATCCACGCTCTTCAGGTCTTTACTGGCATGTGGAAAAACGTTTTCTGCTCGCCACAAAATCTTCATATAAACTCCCAATTCTTTATCAAAATTTTAAAAATATGCATTCATATATATTATTAAAAAATAATTTAATTAAAAAAGAGAGAGAATGAACGCTGCTCGCTCAGCAACTTGTGTCTGCCTTGTGGGCTTGTGTTTTCTGTGCCCATACAGCCTCGGCCTACTCACTGCCTGCGCTCAATGGCGTTTCCTCCCACACACATTTCTGCCTTTTTGCTGCCTTTTTCTCTTTCTTAGAGCCTGGGGGTGAGGCAAAGCGACTTGGAAAGAAACGGGGCGGGGGGGGGGGGGGGGGGGGGGGAGAGCTAAGAACTTTTCAGTCTTTTATTTCAGTCATATCTGTAATACGTCGAATCGAGCCCCGAAAGGAAGAGAAAGAGTGAGGGTGGATTTTTCCTTGTTATTTAGGGAGAGAGAGAGAGGCTGCTGTCAGACTCTTTGCAGCGAGAGAAAGATTGATCACCGCACTTCGTTTTCTTCCACTCGGGGCTATTCGGGCCCTCCCCAAAATATTCCCAGCTAAACAAATGACCGCTTCTTGATCTCTCGCAAAATCTACATGTGCGTCCTGTTGAGTCTAAAGGCCACTCTCACTTACAGTTACCATTTATACTGCTGCTGTATTCTTTTTATCATAAGAAGTAGAGTAGCGTTCTCTCCTTTTTCCCCAGCTGGGTGAAGCGACCTCGCTGTGAACTCTCCCTCTCCCTCTGCGTAAACACGGCGAACATTTTAACACCGTGGAGAGAGGGTGGGAGAGGAACCGTGGTATCTTGCAAGAAGAATTTTGGAGCCTCTCTGAAAAGGTTATTTTAGGGTAACATTATATTTAGACCTTGTTTAAAGTTTCCTCCCCTCTCATACACACCACTACGTAAACGTGATATCTATTAGATATAAAAATCGCACACTTACACATCAGTAGGCTCCCCTCACTGTCTGTCCTCAAATCTAAGCTATGCTCTTGTAAACTGTTCCCTCTGCACTACCGCTGAGCACAAATCTTCATCGTCCACTCTTCGTGCGCTTCTGCGCCATCTAAAAAACTCTCAGAATGTTCTAAGCGTGACATTTCCACCCTCTGTCACACCTTCTAAGATTAATGAGCAGCGCGTTGTAAACAGGAGACATATTGTAGACGGTGCTGGCCGGCTCCATACACCTAACCGTCACCACATCACCCAGAAGACGGGGACAACATGCTCAAGAAGAGGATGCTCTATTGTTTGTGCAGCATCACCGGGCCTGGATGCGCCGGCCAGTCGCCCACACTGCGCACATGGCGAATGGCCACCGTATCGGGGCTTTTTTTCACGCCCTGTTAAAATACAACAATGGCAGCTACCCTGCGAAGTAGTATCCTGACACGACATTTGATGGAAAAAAAAAAATAATGCTGCTTCCCACAGCCATCACAGCCGCCTGGCCTGGGTCCAGGATTGGCTGATTCGGATCACGTGGCCAGGAACTGGCTGCAATTTCGCCCCATAGTTCTTCAGTTTAGACTACCCAGGTCCCCACACGCTAGTAATATCACCAATATACACAATTATTATATAGCCACGGTGTTTACGCCATTGCGGTCGGGAACCTACATGTTCGTGCGTTTTTTTTCAGTTGATTTTTTTGTGAAGCCATAGTGTGTTGCGTGCGTGTGCAAGGGTGCGTGCGTGTATGTGTTTTTGTTGTTGTTTCTTCTTTTTTTATTTTTGGGGAAGGGGCTGTTCGGAGGGTATCGCCGTTTCGGGGTAAAAGCCCGTTTGAGAGAGCTATGAATTTTGAATTTGAGAGGGAGATCGGTTTCATAAACAGCCAGCCGTCCCTAGCAGAGTGCCTGACGTCCTTCCCCGCCGTCCTGGAGTCATTTCAAACTTCATCAATCAAGGAGTCGACAGTAATTCCGCCTCCCTTTGAGCACACCATCCCCAGCTTCAGCCCCTGCACAGCCAGCCAGCCGAGACCAGCTGCGAGAAGCCAGCAGAACCGGAGAGCCTCCGCCACTAATGGCCTCCAGACGCATCACGGAGCCGCCCAGCAGCCATACACGACCGGCCAGGCCCCCGCCCCGGTCACCCCGACCGGCCCGATTGCCCACGAGTTCCCCTGGATGAAGGAGAAGAAATCATACAAGAAGTGCCCCAAGCCAGGGAGCAACTCCAGCGGTACCGGATCCATCATCCCCCCCGCCTCATCCTCCCCGTCGTCAACTGCCTCTGGGTACGCTTCGGCGGGCATCGAGTCACCCACAGGTCGGTATGGTGGGATGCCGGGTAACAGCGTGTATAGCTGCATGCATGTGTGTGGTAGTGAGTAAGAGAGTGTGCAGCATGTTCTGTTCTTTTTTTACTCGCATCACATTTCCAACAGTTATTACACCCTGCGTGGATATACTTGAATGACATTGTCTTTTCCCCCCTCCGTGTGTGTTTGTGTGTGTTTTGTGCAGCGCTGTGTCAACAGGGAAGCCATATCTAGACCACTGCATTATGCTGCAGTGCTTTGCACACTCTTTCATCATGCATTAAACAACCCATTAACGTCTTACAGATAATCCTTGTCAGTGCGGATCAATACGTGCACGCCAGCCATACTGAGGGCAGATCTTTTACATAGGCACTAAATAATTTCAGAAATTTCGAGAATCGAAAATGTATTAATTCCATGTATAATTATTTGTCTTGCGTAAAAACACACACGGGAGTTTTTTTTATTTCTCTTCTTTTTTTAAATTTCATGTTCATCGCTTACATATTTGCTATAGCATATATCGCTTTCAACCTTCTTGGACGATGTGCAGTAGCAGCATGGTCATGTTATTATAGATTCATAACACAAATGAGAAGGTCGCCATGTTGGATGGAGGTGGGAAAAAATAATGGCGAGATAAGGACAAAATACGTTTGGGTGTGGAGGTGGTGGTGGGGGGTGTAGGTTTCGTCCCCACAGGAAACGCACTGCACACTATCTGATTTTGTGGGATTCAGGTTATTTCTATCTCTCACACTGAACTCTCTAACAGTCAATGCATTTTTCAAAATAAATAAATAATTTTGCAAATAAATAAGTAAGCAAACAAACAAATCGATGAAATAATGAAAGAAAGAAATTCCAGTTTTCCATTCTTATCCCCACACATTTAGAAATCTACCTCGTATCAATTTTAATGGGAATTTCTCGGCAAATTTTCTGCCTTCTTTACTGAAGTACGAAAAAATCAAATCGAGCTTTCAGTTGTGTTTCTGACAAATACCGCCACATTCGTCTAAAAAAAATTCCCACATTTCCACACGCATTTCCTTCTAGCTCCGTGATTTATTCGTGTTCCTCTCTGATCACAGAATGCAGAATCTCATAGCCCTCGCTGATTTACAAGACACAGAAGCACACTTTCATTGATGACATAGTTATCTTTCACTCTTCTGAGTGACGGTTGCTACTATAAGTGGAAGGTATATTTTTTAAAATATTAGTATTAGTTCTTTTTTATTACAGGCGAGGAGCCAAGGTGAGCTCGGCGACGAAGTAGCGTATTTCTTGCAGGAAAAATAAATAAATATATATATGGGGTTTCATTTATTGTTTTTGTTCCTGTCCAGACCCGAGTCAGGCGGGCCTAGACGCTGGAGGAGCAGGCTCCCGCCGGCTGCGCACCGCCTACACCAACACGCAGCTGCTGGAGCTGGAGAAAGAGTTCCACTTCAACAAGTACCTGTGCCGGCCCAGGAGAGTAGAGATTGCCGCCCTGTTGGATCTAACCGAACGGCAGGTGAAAGTTTGGTTCCAAAACCGGCGGATGAAACATAAGCGGCAAAACACGCACGGGAGCGGAGGAAGCCATGAATCCAGCGACACGGGAGGCTTTGAGCCGCTCGAAGGCGCTGACGCCTCCTCCCCGTATTCAAGCCAGCCTCTGGAAGCATCTGGCACAGGGGAGACTGCCTCGGAGGGAGAGCCGGGAGGCGGCAATCCATCTTCGGCCGCCTACGCTAATGACAGCGGGGACAATGCACAGCCCACACCAGAGGAGGGAGACCGTTTGAGTATCCCCGAGCAGCCACCGCTGTTTACGGCATCGGGGTGCTCTGACTCTGTGACGGCTCGTCACTCTCCGCCGGCGTTGGCGGTCACCAACTCTGCTGACAACCCGGGCCTGATGCAGCTGAGCGAATCCGTGCCTGGATTAACAGCAGCTCCCGAGCAGCAGGACTCCTCAATTACACCCACAGCTTCATCTGCTCCTTCTGCCGTATCTTCATCGTCCACCCTACCCGACCTCACCTTCTTCGCCGGGGACCCCTGCCTGTCACCCAGCCTGCAGAGCACCCTGGACAGCCCTGTGGATTTCTCAGAAGAGGACTTCGATCTGTTCACAAGCACACTGTGCACCATAGACCTGCAGCACCTCAACTTCTGAGACCTCGACACAAATTGAAAGTATAGGGTCAAATAAAAGCGAGTGGGGCAGTGGGCAGAGGGGCCTGCGTTAATGAGAAATCCAGCAGAGGACACAACACTTATTTATTTAACAGAAATAAAATAATATTAAAGCTTTTCGGCAACATTCCTGAAACCTTTCTCCATTAAAATATGTTTTTTTTTTTACATATTCTTCTTGCTTTTTTGGAGGGCATCATAGTTTCAAAGAAATCCAATTAATTTTTCACTTTAAAACATCGAAAGGATTTTTTTCACCTCCTTTGAAAATATGACAATATGTGGATGTATTTTTTGTACTTCACTTTCTCGGTTTGGAATTTTATTATTTTTTTATTATTTATTTATTTCTTTTTTTGGGGGGGGGGGATGTAAATCAATCCTTATGAGTTTGTGGATTTGTTTTCTCTAGTTCATCCTGGTGCAGCTTCATGGATTCTTAAAAGCTTCTCAGGAACTGTTCACGGAGTCTGTAGGCGCAGATATCTGGACCGTTTTGACAAAATCCAAATGGGACAATGAATGAATGAATTCTCTCTTTGAACGGCACGACGCAGAGAGAGGGAAGCCCTGCTGATGACCGGAGGTTTAAACACTAGTTTATTTATTGAGATTCTTTAATAGTGAAAATCCAAATTATTTATTGTACACATATTTTCATAGTGGAATAACAATAATAATAAAAACACAAACATTTATACTGTGCCCCATGTTTTTTTATAGTCTCTGAATTTATAAATTAGCACATTTATGTGTGTAACCCTAACACATAGTATGGATTAATTTATTTGACAACACTAAATAGGTTAGAACGTTTTTAGACCAACAACCTACAAAATTAATTTTTTACAACACAATTTTTTACTTGTTTATTTATTACAACTATTTTTAATTATTTGTATTTTTATATATAAAGCCTATATACATGCTGTGTTTTTTGCACGAATACTTTATACATTATAACCACCTCCAAAGCAATTGAATCCAATACACTTTTCAAATTTCTCATTTCAATTCCAGTTTCAATGTATTTATTTTTTATTAGATAAGGATTAAATAATTGACCTGTTAAAATTCCTAAAATGCTTGTTTAGTTTTTCCAACTTAAAGACTATAGCCTAGGAAACTATGTATAGCTAGTGTGTTTACATGGAGATAACCTTGATAAATGGGAGCAAAATAACACATTTTCCGGAGCTGCTTGCCTTCATCAGGTGTTAGCTCAGCACGGCTAGCTCTCTGAGTACAAGCTAAGGGTTAGCACAGCGTGGCCCTCCTCCACCATCACCACCACCACCAGCAGCAGCTATTATTACAAAGTAGCAACAACAGCAGTGCTAAAAAACAATGTAGCCTTTTTTACTGACAGTGAGTGGAAGAATAGCAAGGCTCACCTGCTGCTGTAGTATGTAAACATGGAAGTTAATCCCTGATTGGCGTCCTTTTATTAAAATGTGAATGTGAAGTTAACCATGAGTGTGTCTGCCATTAGTGTGTGCGTGATTGCAAAGCTACTCCTCCTCCCGCGGAGTCAAAATGGCGCTGAAGACAAAGCAGGATGTGGAACAATAAGCAGTAGCAGCCATTACAGGATGATCAGCTCAGTGTGACAGGCAGGATGTTTGTGTGAGGACAGCGAGCAGAAAGGACAGAAGAAACATTTTATATTTATTTTAACAAAGGATTATGGTTGACTGTTCCCATCTTATAAGGAAAAAAAGTAGAGTATAAGATGATAATGGCAACAAAATAAAAAAAAAGCTTTATAATTATTTGAATGTAAAAAACAAAGCATATCATACATACATACATATATATACATTTATAAAAATATTTTTAAAAAAAAGAAAAAAAGAAAAAAAGAGCTGCATTCTATTACACAATAATAATAATGTATAAAAGTTATAATCTGATAATAAAATGTATTAGTTGCTAACATAATTAAAAAGTCCAAAATATAAATATGTTGTACAAAATTTAAACCATTTTTGGCTTATTTATTTGAAACAATAAACTGCACAAATCAAAACTGTCCTGTTCATGCTTGCCTGTGGGTATGAGCTGTATTTCTTTGTCATTAGAAGAATATAAAAATTTTCAGAATCAAATTTTTTAAAAATCCGGTGTCAGATTTTACTTTACATACAGGGCATGTGCCCAAGTTAACGGGCATTGATGTCCATTATTAACCTGCCACAGTCAGTAAAGAACATTTCACATTAACATCTTACCATCAGCACATTTGTTACACTTGGGCACCAGTGGCCTTGACTCTAGGTTTAAATGAAGTAGATCTTTTGGTGAGTTTTAACCCTTGACTTAACTCCTATTGGTGAGCTGTATTGTTTTTCTGTTTTTTCTTTCTTCTTTGGTTATATTTACTTTGATAGCATATACTCTCTACCCCATGCACGATTCATATATATATGTGTGTGTATATATATAT